TATGGGTGCTCTTGGTTTCTTGCGCTGCTGCTTTGCGGGCGCGAAGGGGCGTCCAGTATAAGCCAGCAAAGGCTGGCAACTTGATGCTGTAGGAAAGCAAGGAGTGCCCCTAGGCTCTGAATACTGTTGCTCGAGAAGTTTTGCGTCTGTCCTACCTTTGGAGAGCCTGTTCAAGAGGCCCTTCCTGTAGGCATCGACGTCTGCAGGGATGATTGAGCCAGCATCTGCTGAGTAAAAAGAAAGCAGAGGCCTGTTGCACTTCTTGTAGTTCTAGGGCTAAGTGAAAGTGAATGTGCCCCTTTGAACTACGCCCCTGAGAAGCCGGCGTTTCAGGCGGACTCAGATAACGCGGAAGGATGGGACCGTGGGACAGCAAGCTGCCGTCTTTGTCGCCCCTTTTGACTAAGTCCCCTCAGCTGTTTTGGACTAAATTAAACAAAACTCAAAAGTGAAAGGGAGCAGGTGTCTCCCGAATGGACCATTGGTGGCATGCTGGTACACTAGCGGCTACCAGGCGCGGTTCCGCCACCGGTGCTTGGTCACGGGGCCCACGGAAGGATCCAATTGGCGGGCCAAATCGCGCCTTCAATACACCGAATTATTTTAAATTTCTTCTAGGTTACTCTGGGAATACGTGGGAAAGGCTTTAATGCAGGGCGTGGCCAAACATACATGCTCCCACCCGCGTGCGAGCGGTTGTTGACGTCGTCCATTGGACGGCACCGAGTGTGCCATTTGGCTCTNTGCTCCCACCCGCGTGCGAGCGGTTGTTGACGTCGTCCATTGGACGGCACCGAGTGTGCCATTTGGCTCTTCCCCATCGAGCTAATAAATTTGTATAACTCCCCCTAAAAGCTACCAACAATTCCAACTTATGTGGAAAAAATATGTCGACAACCCGCTGAAGCTGCAGGCACGTCGAGCCAACGTTTGCCTAGGCTATCTGACGAGGTTCGTCGATATTGCTGGGGGACTGTCGTAGACTGCAGTATAGTAGAAACACTTTATAAGAGTTTCAAAAGGCAGTTAACCTACCGTAGACTCCACAAGCACCTTGGGCGCATGGGGACGCGAGGGCCTCGGGCCGGGGGGGGGAAGGAGACGACGTGAGAAGAGGTGAAACGCACCGTGCTGCTGCTACTGCTTCCAGGCAATTCCACATGCAAGCATACCCAGTAATTCTTTAGTGAACGTGCCGACACTGTAGGAAACTGTTAAAGACTTACTTGGCCCCTGGTAGGCACCCTGTGTAACATGAGTTAGCGCAGAGTTAGCTGAGGAGCCTATTGACAGCTTTGGCAGGCTGCGCGTAAGCGTC